AAACCGACTCATGCACTGCACGGGTAACCAAGATTGAGAAAGAAGATCTATTTGAAATATTTTAGAGTTTACTCTACAACTTTAACCCCTTTTGAAAAAGATTTCACCCCTAGGGGTATGCAATAAAATTAACTACAATTTAAAGTCTAATTTTAAGAAATTTAAAATAATGCACTTAAATTATTCTTTACAGTATCGGTATCGATATCTTATCTAAGATAAACAAATAATTTATTTTAAAAATAAAAAATTCATGGTTAATTTCTTCTTTTCTTTAGCTATTTTTTTTATTTTGAATCGGTTTTTTTCTTTAGTGTAGAACTCTGTCCAAGCTTTACCGGGCATTCTGATACATAGTTGCTCTCCGATTTTGTATGCCCATTTGCCCGTAAAGTCGGCTGGCTTCGTGTATAAATCAGGTGGTGCCATACTTTATGTCCTCTGATAAGGAGCGGCTTACCCGTAAAGGATTATGGGACCCGAAAATTTACAACTATTCGGGGTGAAATAAATATTTAAAGTGTAATAGCGGGAAGAATAAAAATAATGCAGGTGACACGGGCATTCGGGCAGGCTGAAACTTTAACTAGCTGGCTTCTTGTGATCCCTTTTATTTTATTTCCACCACTAGAATACGTAGAATATGCTCCCCACACACATAACGGCGCATAACTGGCGGCGCTTTTTCCTTTTTTTTGGTTGACCTTCCTTCAACATGGCGTATGCGCAACTTCCGGCAGAAAATATTGCATAAATACGAAACTAGAGGAGCCTGCAACGAACGGCCATAATGGCAAAATAAGCAATTAAATTACGTTGGCCAGCACCTTTATTTATATGCTGCATCGCCTCGGGGCAGCCGCAAAAATAACAAAAACAAAAATAATAACAACGCCAGTGCTAAGTAGAAAATTTCCATTAAAATGGAATTATGTGTGCGTCAAAACTGAATTTGCATTATTTAGCGAATGCATTTTATTCGCTCATTGTTATGCACCCCTGACAAAATGGCTGCCATTGCAATCGCTAAATTGTTAATTACATGGAATCTACGCCGCCAAATTGCATGGGAATTTTCCATTTCCAGTTGGTTTCGCATCCGCACGCACAGCTCAATGCGATAAATTTAAATAAATACCCACACGGACCTAACTCCGATCCGTTTAGCTTGTCAATGGAGCAGCGCAACGAATCGGGGCTTACGACATCAACGAAAAAAAACAGTAATTGGCATATGTACTATACGAGGTTTATACTTTATATGTACAGATACAACCGATGTTTGAGGCTGCACTCGATGGTGCTGCGTGTTCGGGGCAATTTGTCTCTCAGCTGATTTTGTTGATTCACGCTACATTGTCATGATTTCATTTAGACTGTAAACAAATGGCCAAACAAAAGTCCTACACTGTGATTTCGCTTTGTGCAGTAAAAATGGCAAAAAGAAAGGATGGCGTAAAAATAAAACACATGCTGTAATTAAGTGGGCTGAACTGATTAAATTTTGCAAATATCCCATCAGTATAAACAATAAAGTTTACTTTAAATACGTTTAGAGGTGGACTACACAATGTGTGTTTAATTAGATAATAAATTAACTTTTATTCAGTTAAGGAAAAAATAAACTGTCATAAATATTGTTGTTTTAAACAGGTTTTTTATTTACGGGAAAAAGAATTTTTTATAATTTCTGTGCAGAATTTATTAAAGCGAAAATGTGCTTTAATAAATGGTGAAAAAGAATAGATAATTAAGTGGCTAATAAAGTTAAAGTCCAATTGGTAGCAGCCAATTCAGCATTTTTGATTTGTTTGCGCATCCTTACTGCTGACTTTCAAACGTGTTCGTTCCTTCCGGTTGACTTGCGTATATTTCGTGTAATTTATATGCTCTTGCCCTTCGAAGTTAGTGCGAAATTAATGTCTGTCCTTGAATTTTTCATAAACTGCCAATTCAACAGAAAGTTAGCGGACACACGAGCGTAGAGCAAAGCTCAATGAAACAGACAGATACAGATACATACAGACAGGAGGGGAAAAGCGCGAAAAGTTGGCGAAAAAGTTCATTCGACCAGAGTGGGCGGTGAATTCTTTTAAAAAGCATCTTAATCAGCAGTATATTCACAACTAATCAGTGGCCCCATTGTTTGGCCCTTCGACTACATCTGCTCCTCTTACACCGACTCGCAATTGAAGTGCCTGATCACATATTTGTAACCAGCGCATTAGCAAAGACCCCGACTTCGAACCCCGGCCAACTTATTGCAACATAATTACAACTTGCAAGGGCTGCGGTGCATAATAAGTTCGTACTTCAGGGCGTATGAGCGATGAGGAGCTCTGAAAGTAAGGGATAATGGGAAAAAAATAAGGGAACTTTGATAGAGATAAATTGGGAATGATTTTATTTTGCAGAAAATTTGTAAATGTAAAGATAACATTTTTATTATCTTCCAATGTAGAAAATTATCCTTAATTCTTTAAATTTTAATTGTAAATATCTTGGAAGCCCATATTTTTATAATATTTATTAGGATTCTTGGGAAACAATGACACAACTTTCCATCATAAAACTTCCATCAACATTTATTGGTTTAGCCACATCTTTTCGTTTTATCTACGACAAAGTCTTTAACATTTTTGAGAATTTTCCTGCTATTTTCTTCGACTTTTTCACTTCTTCTCCTTTGACCGCAATTCAATTATAGTTCGTTCCTTGTCTCTGCAGCTAACCGAATTAAATCTAATTATTTCCTAAACTGTATTATCTCTCGCAATAATTGTGTTTGAATGCAAATTAAATTGCAAATATTTGAAATTTCTGTGCTCATCTCTAGTCGAGAAAGAGATTTTCTCCGTTGTCTGGAGCAGCGCATCGAACTTACTTTTAATTATGCTGGCCACATGGACACGGACATTGTTTGCGCTTTGCTTGGCTTTTGGCTTAATAAATTGCAATTGTTTGCAAGCCAAACTTTGCTCGCCCCTCTCTGTTGGCCCAGTTCCGTTGGCTGGCTCTTTGGCTGTGTGGATTTTGTAATTGGTTTGGTCTGCATTTGACAAAAGGAATGAAATAAAAGAGTCCGAGCAGCAGCAGCGGCAAAAAAAGTATGGATTCGAGCGCAAGAAAGTTTAGCATTATGGCCAGCGACGGGCGGCAAACAAAGTTTTCGCAAACATTCAGTCGCAGGGAGACCAATGTTTTTTTTCGGGTTTTTCTCTGTTCTATTCGTGTGCGGTTAACGAAGCAAATAGAAAAATGTTGCAAATGTTGTCGAGCGGGCCGAACCAGAGTCAAATATTTGGCCAAAGTTCCATAAACCAAATGGCCAGACAGTCCAGTCACAAGTTAGAACAAACTCTCTCCCTGATTTCGCCATTTAATAAGCAATTGTTGTGAGCACAGCCAGGAAAACTTGATTAAAATGCCAAAAGCCAGTCCGAAAATTGGATATGAAAACGAAAACGGGTAGGAAAAACTATTTGAATATGCGAGCGATGCGAAGCGAACCCTTCTGAAAATTGTCTAAATTATAGGAAAATAACGATATGCTGGTCACTGATATGCAACAGACACGCTGCCAGACAGAGTAAACAAACAAACTGGACATGAGTGCATCCACATCCAGCCAGGGTGAAAGGTCTTCTCACAAGCAGAAGCAGATAGCAAGCCGAAGGACCCGGGATGCAGGACGCAGGACGCAGGACGACCGGAGGATCCGGGGCCACATGTTATTGTTTTCATTTGTTTTCTCCATGCCCGGGCACCCGCACTCCACACTCGAAAAATAAAGAGAGCTATTTCTAGCAACATATTTCTAAAGTTGCCTTAAAATCACCAGAGTTCTAAAAGATTTACTAAAACTGCCTAAAAGTATGCAATGAAAAATAGAGCATCATCTTAAAGAACAAATATCTCGTTCATTCGTAATTAAAAAATATTGTTATCTACTTTTAGACACTTATCTGTTGCACCCTTGATAAAAAGAAGATCAAAGACACTTTTTTGAATTCACTCGAGCGCATTTAATAATTTATTTTCTCTGTGTGCTCCCACAAAACGGGCGCACTTGACTAGCGAAAATATTTGGTTAGAAGACGAAACAGCCAGAAAAAAAAGAAATAGCAAGGAACAAAGAAAGCTCAACAAATGCTGACTCGGCAACCGCAAGTAATAGGCCAAGTCTGAGCGGGAGTCGAGGTAACAAATAATAACCGAGCACTTTCCTCTTCCGCCCGGCACTCGTTTTTTGCCTTATTCCTGTCCGACTGGACATGGAATTGTTTAAATTATTTACACAAGCTGGAAAATTAAAATGGACAGCTGCTGTTCGGGGGCAGCAAACAGAAAGCAGAGTGAAGCAGCAGAGCAGAGCAGTCATTGTTATGACTGTTGCAACTGCTTGGGTCAAGTGTTGTGTATTGTGGCACGTACTGTACTGCTGTACATGGGTGTGGATTTTGTGGAGTGGACTGGAGTGGACCAGTAACTGCCCGAGCTGTAGTTCATAACTTTTCATTTTGGCCCCTCTGTGGCACTCGCCTTCACTTTGCCTCTCTGTCTTTCGGGGCTTATCCTTTGTGGCAGGCAAATTTTAATTATTACCAGGCGGCTGACGGGGAAAAGGTCCGATTCCTGAATCTGTTACTAGGTCTCAGTCTGTTTCTGATTCTGAGTTTTATGAGTTTGATTGTTCTCCGGTCCGCAGGCATTGCGTATGCGTAATGCGTGCGTCTGTATCTAATTGAAAAAATCAAGCATACGGCCTGTTTTGCCATTGTATTTGACGGAGCACAAGTTGGCAATCGGATGGCCATAACGCACAGCTGTTGCTACATAGTCGGCACACAAAGAGCAATGAGTATCTCGGAAAAAACTAATGAAATGAAGCGAGCACTGAGAAAAAATCATTAGTAAAAATACAATTAATTTAAAAATCCACAAAATAAAGAATGGAATTTAAGATTTATTGAGCTATTATTTCTTTTACAACAAACCTTTTACATGGTAAAATAATCATTAATTTCAGCCGGCGCATCAGGGAATTTCTCGTGGAAAACCTGCTCAATGATATGGTATTTAGCATAAATGCCGCCGCCTGGTGGCAGATTTGGAATATTTATGGCCATCCTCTTCATCAGACGAATGAGAGTTTCAAAGTCGGTTACTTCGTGCCTCTCTATCACTTCCCTCGTCATTTGAGCAATTCTCTGATCGAGATTCCGTTCGGCCTTAACGGCATCCATATCGATGGTCGGTGCGCCGGGCAAAAGTAACAAAAGCAGGGTCATATTATCCCGGCTGCCCTTGTGCAGGCAGATGTCCATCACGCTGTTCACAATCAGCGGCAGGTCATAGGTCACCAAGAGGCGAGAACCAATGAATTCACAGACCTCGGTGCTGCTCATCACGTCCCAAATGCCATCGCAGGCGATTACGATAAACTCATCCTGTTGGGAACGCTCGCAAACTATGATATCTGGTTCGGGAGACACCATCTGATCGACGGAGGGCCTGGAGCTATTGTTTTTAAAATCAAAGTCGCCCAGAGCTCGCGACACAGCCAAAGTGCCATTGACTCTTTTTATCATCACACTGCCGCCGGCATTTTGAATTCGCTCCTTTTCCTTGGGCGAAAATGGTTTGTGATCAATGGTGTAGATGGCAGCTATTCCATTTTGCGATATCACAGCCCGTGAATCCCCACAATTGGCCAAATATATTCTGTCCGGCGAGATAAAGACACATACGGCCGTCGATCCACCTGGCTTGTGCTGATATATCTGCCGCATATCCTCGTCCAGCTGCAGAAAGCCCTCTCGTATCCCAGCCTCATATCTCAGCTTGGAGAACTCATCAGCTTGCATTATGGTCTCTAGAAGGTGTTCCGCACAATACTGTGATATTCGATTACCGGCATGACCATCGAATACCGCAAAGAAGGACCAGAGTTCATAGTCCTTCTTCAAGCTGCAAACAGCCGAGTGGGCGTCCTCCATTTCCAAGCGCCAGCCTTGCATGGAACTCACGCAATATCGCAGGTTGTTCCCGGAACCCTGTTCCACATGCTTTTCCGTTTCCGGTTTCTCCAAAAATCCTCCCATTTTGTGGTCTACTTTTGAACAATACTCAAGAATTTATGTCAGCAGTTTAATAATTCCCTTTTTTGATCAATGAAGTTTAAGGCATAACCTTGAATATATCGAATTATCATTATGATTTAATAATGTATCTCTTATCTAAAAGGCCTATCCATCTTTTTTTATTTTTCTCTATCATTACTCAAGAATTTTGAGTAAATTATGATATTTTCTGTATTTTTTTATTAATTTCTTTCTGTGTAGCTCAACTCTTGTTTTCTGAAGCATCTAACTTTTGGCCAGGCGACTGGAAGTTATTGGTTTTGCACATCTCTGGAATCTTTGGCGAGGCTCAATTAATCGATGACAATTCAATTAGCATCGAGTCCATAAACACACAAAAGATTCCCCATTCACTCATTGGGCTCCCAGACTCCCCGGATGACTTCCACCCAGATTGAAGTACCCCCGAAACTTTCGATTACAGGCAGCATCCTTAGAGGGTGAACTACCGAATAACTGGAGTAAAGAAGGAGCTCTCGGTGGTGGGAATTGAATGGCCATAAGAAAAGTTTACCGTTTAATTGGACAGGCAAATAGGCAGCTAGGCAGCGGGGAGATTTTACCGACTCGTTGAGAGAGTCTAAATGTCAGTTAGCTAGTTCAGCTCAGTTTCTAGCTCTCAGCTCCCCCGACACTGTCGGTCGCATTCTGCCGAACAATGAGCTAAATTTTCCATGGAAAACTACTAAGTAAGCTTGTTAATTAAATACGCATTACCGCCCCTGTAATTGCCTGTGACGCGCTGCTAGGCAACAACTACACCTACTAATGAAATCGGGTGGCAAAGGTGCGGAATGGGCTGAAACTGCTGGAACTCGTCCGGAATTGGATGGGGGAGGACACAAACTAATTGTTAAAGTCAAGTGCAAAGTTTCAGAGCCCCTTCGGCATCTCAGTTTCGCTCCCAGATTTCCCCGTGCAGCTCGTCAATGTGTCACGACAAGGCGGAAAATAAAATGATATGGGTATAAAAAATGTAGTCACTTTTAAAGGCAAACAACTAGCTCCTAATCGTTTTCCACTGTCGGATCATATTAGTACAATTTTTCAGCCCATACGATTTTACGTAGGTGCGAGCAAGATCCGATTTACAGTACTCTAATAAATGAGCAAATTGTACTTTTAGATTCAATTTCTCATAAAAAATAAAATGGTGGCATTCGGTTTTAAAATTTTGCTCATTAATTGCTCATTGCGCGACATATTCGTTCTGCACCACGTAAAAAAGAAAAAATAATGAGCCACCAATGTTAAATGGGATTAAACATGTTTTTGATTAGTTGAGAAAGGTAAACATATTTTAGAAAATTGTAATTCTTTAAATTGTGGCTAAAGAGACTAAGGTGACAACCAAATAAAACATTTAAAATAGTTTAAAAATATAATATTTTTCAAGTAAAATTCCTAAACATGTTTTTGGTTAGTTAAGATTGCTAAATATATTTCGGGAAATATATGTTCTTCAATTTATGGATCTTATTGTGAAACTTATATAATTGAATGATAAATTCTATTAAAATCCTTCACCCTAACTAAATAATCAACTAAATTCCCCACTGCCGCCAGAAGCGGAAAAGCAATTTTAAATCCCAATATGGACTTAATGATCCTTGCAAATCACGCGACTTGCGAACGGCAGCCGTCAATTAATTAGCGCATAATTCATTCCCACCGAAATGCATGCCGAGCGACCCATTTGCACACACAAATCCACAAATGAACAAATGTACGTAGAAATCATCAATCACGGCCATCCAGAAATGAGTTGCGGAATGCATCAAGCTCAGGCTAGATGCCGTCGCAGCAAAGCAGTGGGACAAAAAAAAGGTTAATGGGTTGAAATATCAACATCAACATGAACTCGGGTCGTCAGCGTCGACGTCTGCATCGCTGCTTATTGTTTGCATTGTTTTCCTGCGGGCAAAAACACACTAACCCCGTAGAAGGTGGACAAAAACAGGGCTTACGGAAGGCACCGAAAGGGGCTAAAATATGCGCACACCGCGGGTAAATGTTGGTAATTTGTGACTTGGAATGTTTTTCAGCTTCTGTGTCGTCTGCTTGCAGCCGTTTTGCCCGTTTTGCCCGCAAAGTTTTACGGCAGCGACCTCTTCTAACACGACACTCGCCCATTTAACGCTTTATGGCATTGGATTTATGCTATGCGATACGCGATATGCAAAGAGGCAATTGCATGCAAAGCAGCAGCGGAATTTGCCACAGGAAACTGAAATAAAACTGGGCGGGAATATTGAATTGGCTAGCGGACAATGAAATCGCGTCACCTTTGCTCCAATAATGCAGAACAATACGGGCAAAATAGCACAGTAAATTAGGTGTATGGAAATATCATGTAAAAGGCTTTTTAAAGTCAGAAATATGAATTCAACACTACAGAATTAACTATATATTTATATAATTGAACAAATTTTTGTTGTCTTCTACTGAAACTAAAAAAAAATGTCATAAATAAAAATATACCTGAGTTTTATAGGAAAAACAAACTCATACGTTAAAAAATATTCATTCATTTTCTCTTGCATTCTAATCAGATCAGAAACTCAATTTGAGCTATAATAAAATTTTAAACTAAAAGTTTGATTTAAAATGGCTTTTATTTTGACGGACTTTAGAGTTAATTTTATTCGAAATAAACGACTTAAATAAAGTGACTTTGAGATAAATTGAATTATGTTAGCAATTTTTTCGTTCAACCCTTTTTAAAACTTTCGTTGCACCGAAGGTTATTTGCACTTTATATTTACAAAGCTCATTTGGCCAAAGTTCATCTGAGTTGAAACACTCAATTAAAGCCAACAAATTATCCACTTTCAGTTAGTTTTATCTGAGCGCTTCAGTTTAGTGGAGAGTTTAATCATATCTGGCTCTATTGTCCCACCCGATGCTTGTTTTTTTTTTGTCAGCCAACAAGCCAACAACCAAACACCCCCCCTTTTGGCCTGGCCAACTCGGGTGTCCTTAAGCTGGACCGAGAGGACTGAGCGAGCAGAGCAGTGCTTTTATTTACCCCTTTGGCTTTTGCTTTGGCTTATACAAGTGTGGCTCTTTCCCCCCTTTGGCCCAACTGCAATCGACCTGCATGTTATTCATGGCTAAACACACACCTGCACACCTTAACCGACCTCAAACCGCGCGACCCCCTCCCCGTCAGCCACTTCCTCTCCAGAATCCCGACCCCTGACCCCAGCGCAATCTAACTGCCAACTGCCAGGCCAACAATTTTCTAAACTCGCGCGCTGCGCACGTAATAAAAAATACGCCAACTTGGGGTAGCTTGTTGAGGGGGTGGCAAGTGGGCGGTGGGCGGTGGGCGGAGGCTGACTGGCGCGCTAAGCTGTGCTAAACATTCCCTAAATATATTTTGCAACAGCTCCTCCACACACGAGATAAGCGGCGCACATACCACACCGACCTGAACCTGAACACGAAGATAGTAGTGTGGGTGGAAAATGGGGTGGAAAGTGCGGGAAAGTGGATGGAAAACTGGGGGAAAGCGGGGAAAGCGAGGGGCTTTGGGCACTAAGAGAGCGCTCAGAGAACACCGAGCACCGAGCAATGAAACTTTTTGCGCCTGAATATTTTTGCAAAACTATTCACAGTTGATTTTTCACCTGATGCTTTTCATCCTTGTGTGGGTGTGTGTGTGTGTGTGAGTTCGGGTGTATCTGTGTGGGTGAGTGCACCTGCCGCCGAGTCTTTGTGTGAGTGCTTAAAATATTTGAGCGGCATGCACACGGCCGAGAGGAGTCGCCCCCGAAAAATATCCGACTATCTGGCCAGCAGTGCTCTGGCCTCCTTTTGGGCCCAACTTAAATGCAGCTGCCATGGCAGTTGAATTTTCCGATCGGTTTGCCCTTTTCCAAGGGGTTTTCCACCCACTGGAATTTACAGATTTACTTGTAATTATTCTTCCTCACAATCCAAAGGAATTTAACCAGGCAAATCCCAGGATATTTTAGTTCGAAAGAGAATAAACAGAAATTAAACAAGACAGCTTTTTATTTGCTTAAAATAGGAAATGCAACAGCAAAGGATATTTTAAGCATTTACTTAGTTTGAAACACAAATATCCAATAATATTTTATTTCTGTTAATATTTCTTGTAATTTAATTTTGTATTATTCGGTTTTATATTTCCTTAAAAATAAATACAATTTAGATATATATTTTCAGCATACAAAATTTTCTGGGAGCTTTTGATATTTTCTTAGCTAAGATATTACTATTTTTCGGCCCAATTTGGAACTGAGCCGTCCCTGCTGAAAACTATCTGCATGCTTATTTGCCTCCGCGCAAGCACATATATCTCATTATAAAAACGACTTTAAGCTCAACTAACCGTGTGCAATTGCAGATACGGTCTCCTGGGCGCCTCTGGATGTGGGAAAACAACGCTGCTCAGCTGCATCGTTGGTCGACGTCGCCTCAATTCTGGCGAGATTTGGGTGCTCGGCGGACGACCCGGATCGCGTGGTTCCGGTGTGCCGGGACCCCGGATTGGCTATATGCCACAGGTGAGTTGGTCCCACCCTCCCCTCTTTCCCACCTGCCCTCCACTTTCCTGTTTTCACTCTCCACCTGGCTGGTGCTGAATTTTTCATGTGCTTTTTATTACCCCCTGCCAGAGGCGACTAAATTAAATAAACGCAATAAAATGGTGAAAGCACAAAAGAAAACATATACCTACCGAAAGTTTTAAATGCGCCACTCGCCCAGAGAAGGAGGAAAACTTTTAATTTTCACAATCCATAAGAATAACTCAACTGCACTGCATTTCGTTTCGTGTTTGCTGTAGAGGCGATGGTCTTAAATGGAAATTATTTTCATAAATAAATGTTGGGTCGTTTGGACCCTCTCGAAATATATAAAATGTAAAAATTATTTGTTTGTATTATTTTAACATAATACATTTAAAAATTCAATTATAAATAAATTATAAAACACACACTTATATTATAGAGTTATTTAGTGTAAAGTTCACATTT